TTATTGATCCATTTATATATTTCTGCTTTTATTTCTAATTATGTCAGATTCTGTCCCCTACAGTTTTGTGTTGGCTCAGGTCAAATATCCAATCTGTCCACTCGTTTAAGAGATGTCAGATTTTAGGTCATATTAAAATATGGTTATGAGTTTTTACCTGAGTGTAACAGACAGCCCTTAGTTTTTCACAATAAAACACCTTTCTTTAGTTGTTGATAGTTGTAGCCTCAGCTGAGGTTTTTGTGTGTGTGTTTCTGTGTGTGTGTTTGTGTGTGATTGCTGAATCCTGAGCCACAGACAGAAATAGCTGCAGGCTCTGCTCTGAACTCCATGTCTCTGGGAGCTCTTCAGGCTGTGAATACAGCAGACCTGAGGTGGACTGATGGAAAACTGTCTCTTGTTTTTGAACTCAGGCCAACGCTCAGGGCACCGTGCCCTACCTGGGAATCTTCCTCACAGACCTCACCATGCTGGACACGGCCGTCAAAGACCGGCTGGATGTAAGTGGATCTCCTCTTTGTCACGTTGGCCCACAGGGTGAGTTTAACTCCAGTCAGGCTGACCCGACACTTCCTGTTTCTGTCTTCACAGAACGGCTACATCAACTTTGACAAAAGGAGAAGGGTGAGGGTTGCAGCACGTGTCAGATAAAGAAACAAAGGATGAAAATTTCACCTGTTGCACTACTTCCAGTTTAGAGACATGAAGTGTTTTTTACTAAATGATTTTCAAATAATGACCAACTGAATTCTATTGAAGAAGCTGAAGCAAAACACTAAATGTAGCACATTGCTAAATAAAACTAGCAAAAGGTTTTTATTTTAAATGGAGTTAAATAAAATCAAATGTTTTAAAAAGTAGTTGAAGGAGCTGAATGCTGACTCAGCATTCACACCAAAGTCAACATGAGAGATGAGTTTATAAGAGTTTAAATCTGAGGAGAGAAGATTGAATTAAAGCTGCTGCAGGTAGCTGTTAGCTCAGAGGACACAGCTGCTGTACGTAGCTTTTAGCTCAGAGGAAACACAGCTGCTGTACGTAGCTGTTAGCTCAGAGGACACAGCTGCTGTACGTAGCTTTTAGCTCAGAGGAAACACAGCTGCTGTACGTAGCTGTTAGCTCAGAGGAAACAGCTGCTGTACGTAGCTTTTAGCTCAGAGGACACAGCTGCTG